TAACTTCTCAGATAAAGCATGTTTATATAACATAATATTTTAGTACTTAGAAGGACCCATTAAAAGCTTCACCTATCTTAATTCGCTGATTGTTTCGCCCCTTTATTGTTTTGAACTATAGACAGTGTAATAGGCGAACAAGAAATGAGGTTAATGTTAGGAACTGTAAACGTCTTTTGGTGAATGAGTGTCTCTCCGTATCGGAGGTGAAATTAAATTATCTGAGAGTTGAATGTTCAGACAGTTCCGATGAAATATGCATTATTAAAATGTGTTTTCTATTGGAGCACATTATATATAAGTATTAATAATAATAATGATAATATATATAATAATGTGAAAAATAATATATGTTGACAGTGGTGATTGTGATTTTTTTTTTTTTTGCAAAATCGTATATATAATATATATTTTTGATTTCCAGCAATTTCTCATCGCAGTCACTCATCAACGAGCAGTTTGCAGAAGCGGCCAATACTATCTGCATTGCAGCAAGCCAATACAACAGCTCTTGGAATAACATTTCCAGTTGAAATTGTTAAAAGTATGTCAGTTTATCTTTTGTAATTTATTAGTCTCCATAAATAACTGTGAGACGCTAAATTGTTTCAAAATATTATAACATTCTATTGATAGCTATGAGTATAAGAGAACAAAAAAAAAAAAAAAAAAACACTGCTTCCAGTTTAGCCTAACAGCTAATATAAAAATATCGCAGGAAGTGGCGGATTTGGTTTTACCATAACAAGTCGTGAAACGGCTAAAGGTGAACGACTATTTTATATTGGAACTGTGAAAGCAGACGGTGCCGCGGTAAATAAATTGAGAGCTGGTGATAGGTTACTGCAGGTGATAATATTTCTTCATCCTTTTGTGTTCTCTTTTGTGCTGGATATTTATCTCATTTCTATTCTGAGGTCGAGATTTGTTGTTAAACTGTAGCAATAGTTAAGGATCTGCCTACTGCTAAATTTTTAGATTGATGGCGAGAAAACAACTGAACTTACTCAAAATGATATGGTCGAACGTCTCAAAAGATTGGATGTTGGTGATTCAATTAATTTATTGATTTCGCGACTTGGAAGTCAGGAAATTGAAAATCAGAGTCCGACAGCAGCGAAAAATAGTGATGACGATAGAGAGTGCTGTCATCAGAAACGAGAGAATGAAGGAACGGAACGATATGGGTATGCTTAATTAGCTAAGAGTTAAGTACGAATAAAATGTTGAGCAAGCGCATTTACTTTTGATTCATTGATCAAAGTTTGGAGATAGGAAAAATTATAAAGCTTCAAAGGATATTCTTCTTGTGGTTGTTAAATTTTGCGAACAGATAAAATTAAATTGCTTGAGATTATTTTGCAAAGTGAAATGATCTTGAACAGTTTATAACCATCAGAATACTCTTCTGATAATTGTGATTGCATTATGAATGAAATTGTAAGGAAATTTTAGACAATACGGAAGGATTTTATGTCTTGACTGTATTTGCGAGTAATTGTAAAATGATTTATTTATGAAATGAATCGTATATTTTCTCATGAAAAATTAAGTAAGAATTACAGAGAGGAGATTTTGACGTTAAAAATTGCTTTGAATGAGACGGGAAGTGCCGGGTTGGGTATAAGCTTGAAAGCAAGAGCAGTTATGAAGCCTGACGGTACGCGTCATGACTGTGGAATATTTATCAAAAAGGTTTGTGTATTTTATTGTCTCCTGGATATTTACTAAGCTAAGATTTATAAGCTACTTTTTTTTAAAGAAAATTTTAGCAGTGCTTTTTAAATATTGTATTGTTGTTTATTTTAGCTAATAAATAAACTGTTGGAAAAGCACGCTTAACTGCAATTTATTGCAGGTTCTGCATGGTGGTGCTGCATATAAAGATGGAAGATTACAACTCAATGATCAGTTGATTGGAATCGAAGATATTGATTTGAGACGAATGATGAAGAATTCAGAGGCAAGCGATGCTATAACGAGATGTTTGAAAAACATAGGTAAATGCCGGGAATTGATTTGCATGAATTGAAATAGACTGTAAATATTGCAAACAAAATATTCAGATGGTGTTCACTAAAGTCTTCTGTATTTTAGGACCGAATGCAAGTAGCGTGTGTTTACGTGTTGCAAGAAAAGTCGAGTTACGTCGCAGCAATGATTTACCGAATATAAAAAATTCCGGAGATGAATCTTTGACTCTACATTGTGAGAGTTCTGAAGTGCATGACAGATCTCAAGCAATGTCCGAAGGTAACTTTTAATTAATGAAAGTTTTATTAATTTAATAGATTTTGAAATATTGAGTTATGATGCAAACAGTTCACCTCGTGAGTGGTAGAACCGAGGTGAATTTCGATTAGGTCAAAATGTCGTCATCAATCATATTGTCATGCATTTAACCACTAATTTAATTCCACCCTTCTTAATTAAACTGTATGGGTAACCTGTAGTATATGTAATTTCAATATATGTTTTAAAATATTACTTAATTTGTACAGATGGTGATAATGCGATTATAAAGAAAGAAGAAACGTCAAATGGTTATAATGCTGATGTGTCGAGACACCGACTTAGCAGTACGGATGAGCGATCATTGTAATCATTTTTTTTAAATATCATTATCCTTAGATTTTTTTCTACACTTTTGTGAAAATTTTTTAAAGAACCAATCAATTCTTTATTTTCCATCAAATTTCATTAAGCAATTTCTATTATATATCACTAATAGACACAGTTTGAATGATTATATCGGAATCGTTAGTACTAATTCAGATATATTCAAGAATTGCCACAATGTATTGGAATTTTAATTGTTGCTGTGTTATTTCGTTTTTTAATAGTTTCGACGATCACTTTTAGAAATGCAAATGAAGATTTGGATTTTACCTCAAGCAGTAGACAGAAGTGTATATCAGAAGATGAAATAAGCCATGCCGATAGCAATGCTTTTAGCCGGAAAAATCCTGCCAGAAGGTTAACATTTGTTATGAAAAGCTTCCCCAAAAAACTTACCATATTCGTATAAAAGCAAAGGCTTTTAAGAAATTATATTTTATATCAAAACATTAAAAAGCTGCTTAAAATGGCTCTCATAAATTTCAGTAAAAGAGAATATGCGTTTTTTGTACAGCTTCGAGACTAATTTTTTCTTCGTTTATAAAAGCTTACTTTTGCAGATCGATATCAGAAAAGCGGCGTATGGGTGTTGGGAATGATGCGAACAATACAGTGCTTTTTCAGAAAATTAAGCATAGTCGCCAGATGAGTGGTAAATGTTCTTTATTTCAATATAAACTGCTGCTTAGTGTGCATGATTTTGATGCTTGGAATTATTTCGTTTTCAATTTGATTTCCTTTAGAAGCTTTTTTTGTTTTAATAAAAAAATATCACTTTTAATTAAAAAATATCATCATCTTTCTTTATATCATCTGCTTGCTTAACGCTTCTTATATTATAGTTTTCTTTTTTTTTTACTTGAAAAGTTTGTTCGGCGCTTTCTTTTGCATAAATTAACGCTTCAGCTCCTCTTTTGCATCGTTTCGTTCCGTTCGTTAGTCCAACACACCGATCACTTGCGATGTTCTCTTCACGGAGCGCAACATCACTTCGAGAAAAGTGTCGCCGACGAAGTTTAGCATCTCTTCGATCCTCTGATGAAAAAACTGTCACTGGAAAGTTTATAGGAAATCGTGAAAAAATTACTCCTATCGTATCTGCTAATTTCATTAACAATACTGGTAATGTGGCTCTTTCATTATGTAAGCATATTTTTGTAATTAATTGCTGATCATTTCTTCTAAATTTACGCTTAATTTTCCATTATCAATTTGAAATAAACTAAGAATTATGGAAATATAAAAATATAGCTTCAAGACATTCATTGCCAGTTTTTTAGCAATTGCTATCACTGATCTGATAAATGTTGCATTCTATGAAGGTCATACTGCTTTAGTTTCACATAACATAACATTTAGTCCTTATTTCTGCTAATTTTTACTAGCATTAATGCATGCCTTTTTTATCTATTAAATTGATTATTTCGTGTGGTAAAATAGTTTGTAGATGTCTGTATTGATCTTTATCAGTAGCTATTTTAGCATCTCCCAATCGTCGTTCATTAAGCCTTGAAAGTATGGAGGCTCACCGATCACCAATGCTGGCAATTGCATCAGCGTAAGCTATATTTTGTAATTATATGCTTCCAAATGATTATTTTTGATTTTCGTCCATTTCCTATCATGAGAAGTTCCAAATTACAGTCATTCTGATGTACCAGTCGTCCGAGATGTTCGGGTGGAGCAAATAGCAAGGCGAGGCCATCCGAGCACTCTCAAACGAGCTCAAAAGTCTCGACCCAATGGTTATACGAAACCGTCCATTTCCGATGCAGAAGACCAATCATCTACCGGTAATTTCATCATTTTCTCAAATTGCTTTCTAAACTTATTTGTTTATACAATGGGATATTTTTAGAGAGAAATGGGAATGAATCTTATGGTTCATTACCTCGAGAAATTTCCACCACTTCCAAGGAAAAACAACAGCGAAGGAAATCAGTAGGAAGGTGAGTTCCATATAACATGCTTTATCCTCCACAGAGACGTGATTTTTTTCTAGAAATAAAAATAATTTTTCACATTCTTCCATCATCAATTTACTGTATTGATATTTAAAATTTTTGTTATCGCTCATTTATCTCTCAACATTTATCAACAGGTAGAATTATTAGTCTTGAAGTTAAAACTTATCAATAACTTAAAATAAACAGTTTAAGTGACCTATTTTTTATTTGCAGTAGCATATTTTCAAAGATTACTCAGAGACTCGGTGGTTCGAGATCGCGTGACACATCTCCAGAAAAGTCGGTATCATTCGACATTGCTGAAAGCAACTCTTTCAAGGAGAAGACAAATAAGTTTGTGAAGTTAATGGAAAAAAAATTAATGATAAATAAATTTCAAAGGAATTAATAAATTTAGTGATCCTTTGCAAGCATTGTCCAATCTTTTCTAGAACGCAGGATCATCGAAAGTGGAACAAAGAAATCAAAAGTAATCAGTCGATTCGCAGAGCACCGCCACCGTACAAGCCATCATCTTCGTGTGATATTTTGCAATCAGCGGACTCTGATTACTACATGAACGTAAGGCTTTCCCTTTCTGATGACAGAATGATCGCAAAATGCTGTGGGGATCACATGAAGATGCTTTTGTAATTTCTCACGTAAACATGCTACAGTAACTGGTTTTCACTCTTTTAAATTTTTTTTATCTGGAAATTCTGTAGTGTGCTTTAGAGTTTTCTTACCTAACTGTATAATTAACTGTCTAATAATTTCTTGGATAAACTCATTAGCACCATATTACAGTACTAAACAAGATACAATTCGTAAGAACTACAATTCATTGAGAATCTTTTAAATGAGCACCAATAAGTTTCAAATTTAGGATGTTCCTGGAACGCATAAAACAGAAATTGTTTGCAGCGGAGAGGAATTACCCGCCAATGGCTACATACGGGTTGCAAATTCAAAGTTCTACAATAGCTTTATTGAGAGGTGGGCGGGTAACTTACAAGCTTAAGCTAGTCTTCTGTAGGATTCTCTCCTACATGCTTCAAGCATCCCTCTTGTTTATTGTTGCTACCGCTTCTCCCCAAAAATTCTTGTATCATTCTTGAAAGTCATTATTCAATCCTGATAAGTTTATCACATAGCATCAACAGTTTTAATTTATCATATTTCTCGATTCAACCAAAAAGAGGATTGATTTTCCTCGTTCTTCTTTTGTGAGTTTTAAATTACGATTACGAGCGTGTTTTCCAGCCAGCTTTCTGTTGCGCTTCAAGCTTTACACACACTATAGAATATGCGATACAGTACCTTTGCATGACAGAAATGCATTCCTCTTTTGCATGAAACATCCTAAATATGTTTGTTCATGCGCCGTTGCTTAGATAGTATTTGATAAAGGGATTTTATAGAATTTTACAAAATTCAAAATATTTCCAATGAGTACCGAAGAATGTTTTAAAAAATCCTTTGCAAATTTACCACACCTTACAAATCACAAAAAAAATTGCTTTCATTTGAGAAATTATCGATCCTGCATGTTTTGTGATATTTTTGAGATTTTGTTTTATCATATGAAAGTCTTAAAAGTATTTCACTTTAATTTTTATATATTTTTAGGAGCAAAATGCACCCAGAAATTCACCGCTTGACTGCAATCAGGCAGCAGTCTACAACAATGAATGCAATAGCGGAAAAGGAAGAAATCGCCAAGCAAGAAAGTATGCATTCGATGAAAATAATTGTGAAGCTAAAATATAAGTTATGAAAATTGAGCCAAAATATATTTTAGTTTAATTTGAATTCAGTTTGGATAGAAAAATACTTTCTCAAATTTCTTTTTTTTTCCTTTTTTCAGCGGATGTGGTAATGAATTATACACGCAATTCCATCAAAAACAGCAACAACAACGACAGCAATATACAATCTATCCGCAACATTGTTACGAAGGACGACGTGAACAACAGCAACAACGCATGGCGTATTACACGGGATGCAGTACCGACTATTACGATGTTTTCAATGCCTGGTTTGCGTACAGTGCAGCAACCGCATGCGGAAATATACCATTCGTTACAAGAGGAAGAAGCGGATATCCGTCCCAGCACACCTACTTTTCCGCAGCAGAAACAGTATCACCAAATAGACCACCGATGCGACAAATTCACCATGAAAGGTTTATTGGTTTAAATATTTAAGCGGCATATACAAATCAAATATGACGCATTTTAACTGTTACTTTAAAATACGATAACTTTAAAATTGCAAAAGAATTTGACGCACATAGTCTTAAATAATACTTTGTTAACAATATGACATGCGATTTAATTTTAACTTTTAATTTTTTAATTCTTCTAAGCGACGAATTTATTTCAATTTCAACTCTCTGCAAGGTACCCACAGCATAAGAATTGAATAGCATTTAGTCGAAAAAGAACTTTAAAATTAAGATAAACTGCTCAGCTTTTAGTTAGCAGCTACTCTTCACATGAATACATCTTGAAAATTGATTTTTTTTTTTGTAGATTCCGGTCGTGTCCAACTCAGTTTTTCTCGTCAGGAATGCGAACGAGACAGAGTATTGAAAGGGCTGGTCCCTACTACGCAACCGGCTATGCCTCCCATTCCGGCCGTATTTCCGACTTCTAGAACTTTTTTCTTTGCATCTTCCACACGGACGTCAGGACATCGAACAAATGATTCACAGGCAGGAGCTCGTTCCAGTTTACGAAATCGTGCTAAATCAATTTTTACCCCATCGTCCAAAGAACATATATTGGCTGAGAACATTGTAAACCAACCAAGAAGTTCTTTGAAGTCTCAAACATCTGAACACTCCTACCAGAATCAGCAACAGCCATTACGGAGTTCCATTTCTCGAGAGCCGCTCTTGCTATGTTCCCGTCAGCCCCAACAAAAACAATCTTCCGACCCTTCTCTCCCTTCCTCTCCTCATTCGAAGACATCTGTTCCTTCAGTGCCGCACTCACCTAAAAGTTTTGACGAAACAACTCTTTCATCTCCAACTTATTTGCAAGCATTGCTAGAATCACCAGGAAGAAATTGCAAAGATGTTAGTATGATCAATGTTCCGAAACCAATCAAATATATCAAAATTCATTACGGACGACCATCTCATCCATCATCTCCCAAACAACAGCCATTGCGAACTCGAACTATAAATATTCGTTCTTCGAATAATAATTCATTTCAGCAAGATCAACAAGAAACTGCAGATGAGTTTGATTATCGGAAGTATCTTCGATCAAAGCGTCGAAATCGTTTAAATGATCGGGAACAGCGGATAACGCTTATTGCAACGGTACCTGACGAAACGATCTTTGTGAGAGGAACTGGGACTTGTCGTACTCCTCGTCCCAGCACCTTGTATGACGTTACCAATAATAGTTAGATAGTTTCTAAACTTCCTGAACCACAAAATCAATTATTTCACATTTAATATATTTCCTCATTAGTTTCTCTCATTTGTTGTTTGATTTGATAATGACCTTAAATGTGTTTAGATATTTATACTAATTGATGTAAAGTTTACAGAGTTATGTTTAATTTCATTTTCGGTTTCTATCTGACTTTAGTAATTTCATCAATTCTTCAATGTTTAATTTGTAACACACTTATTTTTCTATCATTACTTACCGTGTATATACGACAACAAATGATCATTTTATATGAAAGTAAAATTGATCAAATGGATATTTCTAGAAATCGCATAACTGATGGGGCATTATGAAATCGGATAATCAAATTTGATCAAACTTTATTTACTTTATTCACTTTCTTGTAATAAATCTCACATAAAATATCTCCAAAGTATTAAAAAAAAACTAGAGATTTAATGAAATTCGCTTAATTTCACACACTTCATGTCTTAACATTATATTTGAGCAGTGTATTTTCAACCGTTTTTTAAGAATGAAACCAAAATTTTCTACTAAATCTCTTCATTTTGTACTTTTAATTATATCGTATAAATGTTGGAACAGTGAAAATTTATGGAAATCATAAGTGTAAAATGCTTTTATTCTGTGCCATATGTTTAAAATTCAATATTTATAATTATGACTATCTATTTCACCTTGTTATACCTCTCTCTCTCTCTCCGTGTCACTTCACTTTGATCTTTTTCTTTGTTGTTTACAAAAGAAAATGTATACTATTACGAATTCAGTGCATTTTAAATTCCATTTTCAGAATTCATAATTATGGAAGTGTCGAATTGCTTCTGCTATTTTATACATTTTTATGACAGATTGAAAAATGCTAAAAACATAATTAACAGATCTATTCTCTTATTTGATTTATGATGGGAAAAAATCAAAATAAAAGGTTCATTTATTTTCCATTAGGTAATAAACAATAGAAGATGAAATCAGTATTCAGAAAAGTTTCATTAAAACATTTTGGAAATTTTAAATTTTTCAGCCGTATTGTTCATGCTCAAAATGATAGGAGAAAAAAAGACAAGAATTCTTGAAACTCCATATTCACGATGATGATTATGAGACTGGCATAACTTTCTTATCAAACAACCAATACAAAGAGTTTGTAAACCATAAATTGGATTTAATGTAGTCAAAGTTTAATTCAGTGATCTGTTTAAGATATAAAAAAGAGAAAGAGAAAATTTTTCATTCATTCCATCTCATTGGTTTTCATTTGACTTGGAAAGACATAAACCTATAATTGAAACAATTTTTTCCAATAATTTTTAAATATTCAACGACTTTGCAAATGAGCAAAAGAAAGGTAATTTTTAGTTACACATAATTTTAATTTAATACATTACGAGTTATCATTTTATCAATTACCCTCTCATAAATTAAAAAGGAGGAGAAAAGCTGTCTGTGGGAGATAAATGTGACACTTTTTGCTCAGAAAACAATTTCCCATGGGGACATGGATGCCGTGCTCCTTCAGTACACAATTATTGATTCCCTCTTTATGCTATTACCGTTTGACTACAGTGCTCCAGCTACAGTACCCCCACTACAGTATGTGCACAGTATCTACTACTACATGGTGGATAATACATATTGATACATCTGTACCATAACAACTGATAGAGTATTTAGTGGCAGACAGGGAAGAGAAGGAAACAAAAAATTGATCCATCTCACTAACAACACCAAAACTATCATCCATAGCGACTTATTTTATTTCATACTTTCATGAATTTATAATTTTGAAGATTTTATTCCGATTGATAGTATCATTGAAACGAAATGGCGTGAAATTGAAAACAAGCTAATCAATCGGTCAGGTCATCCATCTCATTGATTGCTTTAAATACAAACAAACAAATGCTCTCAGGGATGCTTCCTTCACATATTTTCCTCCGCTACAATGTTTATCGCTTTTTTTGAAACCATTTATTGAACATTGAAGAAGCATTTTTATGGCCACTTGCGCTACTAATTTTGCATATTTCTGCGCTGTTATCTCATTAAATACAAATTATCACTCATTATTTTCTACTGCGGAACAATTCTCGACAGTGCGAGTGAGAATTGCTGAAGAAGGATTTCAATTTTTTAGTAAAATTGCACATCATATTGTGCGTCTTCCTTCTAATCTTTTTTTCCTTTTTATTACACTCACTTCTTATTAGCAATTAAAACACATTGAGTTTTTTGCAATTAAGATTGCATGTGATATTATTACATTAGTTTTGCAATCATTTTTACCGATTTACATTAATTATTTGAAATTATTTGTATTAAAATGTCATTGAAATTTGAATGAAATTCCAGCTGATTAAAAAGTAATAACTGTGAGATAAAATTTAACAGAATATGAAATTTAGATTGATGAGGAAATATGGAAGCTAACATTTCCAGAAATAACAATTCCAATCGAAGGTGGACCTGGCACTGGTGAAGTGAATGTAACTGAACTTACATTACGATCATTTAAATCGCCAACTTTTTCATTTCAATTAGCCCCACCCAATGGTATTATTTGGCTATGTAAAGGTGGATCAACAAAACAGGAAGCCGTCTGGCTTGCTTATTACTATTTCATTGTTCCAGTAAGTTCATCATTGCGAAGATTTATTATATGGGAGAGTTAATTAAGTTATGTTAATTTTAAGGCATTGCTTACAAAAGCTCCGCTTTTTTATAATCCTTTCTGGTCAGTGTAGCCAAAATTCAATAATTATGTCGAATAAGTTCATCTTATAATTAATCTGTAATTAATGAGAGCATGTATTACAGATTTATCTTTCGGGATATGTTAAGGCAAAAATGGATGACATCCGTATTTATACACAAACCAATTTAATGGTTCGAAATGAGCGTCCACAAATTGAGATTGGTGATTGTTTCACAGACGTTCAGCAAGTTTACGTCTATATTACAGGTGGTGTTGTACAATGGGTCGTCAATTTATTTCGAACACAATTAGCTTTTGCAGTCAAGCAAACGATACATGAAAAAGTTTGATTCATATATCTTTAATTTCAAAAATTGTTTCTGTGCAATGTTTCTCTACAAAGATTTTCAAAATTAATAATTGGATGTTGAGGATATTTTTTGAAAGTTTATTAAAAAGTTAATACTGTAATCGATATATTTTTCCACGGTGACAGCATGCTAACTTATTGTTTAGGTCATTAATTAGAATCAATAATTAATTTATTTGAATCTATCGTAAAAATTTCCACATATAAATACTTGTTTTTTAGTGGATAAATACTTGTTTTTAGTGCAATTATGAAATGAGAATTGAAAAACGTAAAATAATATATTAGTTGGATTTATCGAAAAGCAATTTGATTGATAATAATAAATTTGATAGATGTGTGATGTGATACGCAACACCGTCGTTCAGATCAATGCCGCCTTATCAACACTTTCTACGCGAGTTAAATTATACGAAAATCTCTATGTTAGCTATTTATACAAGGTAAACTATAATTTCTATTAATTCACGCCTTTTTCTTTCTTTTGATATGAATTTGTCAAGTTATATTTCACGTAAGTCATGCTTCACGTTTAACCAATAACAATGAAAAGGATTACATTAAAATCGTTGAATGATAATTACATTAAAATCGTTGAGTGATTATCTGATGCTATAGATTAAATTTTTAGCTATTGAATTGCTCTGTGTGTAAATTAATTAATGGCTGCATAAAGATTGATTAATGTTATTGAGAAGGAGAACAAATTCGGAAAGCTATAGGGAGATTCAAAATTTTATTCCGCTTCAAATTTCAAAATTTTATTCTTTATAAGAATTTTTGACAGTAACTTTATTTTGCATTGTTACTTTTCTCATGATCGATTATTGATTGGAACTTTTCTTTAAATTGTCAGTTTTTTTTCTTTTTTCTCCTTGAATAATTGCTAATTTATCCTCATCTTTTTTTAGCAAAAGCCTATAGTGACGAACAAATACATTGAAAATGAAATGGTATTTGATGTAACGTACGGACAAGGCAATTGTATGTTATCAATGGAGCAAATGGATGACCGTTAGCTTATCTATTATTTTTAATTTCCAAAAATTATGTTCCGGATTCTTGATAAATCAATGTCAAAAGTACGTTGCTGCCTCCTAATTAGTGTAGAAAGAGCTACTGAGCATATACTGATAGCAAAAAAAATCATTTCACCTCATAGATTTCTATATGTCCACCTGTTCTGTTTCGTTCATTTATAGTATGTTAGTTTGGTGGGTCACAAGGACAAAACATGTTTAACTGTTAGAAGGTCAAACAAAGAATAGGAATATATAAGTACAATAATAATGGATGATAATGAAGCCAAAAAATGCAGCTCAATTTTAGCGGAAAAGCGTGATTCGAAAATTTGCAGTTTGGCGGAAGGCACATCCGTTTACTTAATTTACTTACGATAAGATTAATCGATACTCTTTAAAAAAAGCAAGCAGGAACTTGCTCACAGGAAGACTTAAAATATTTCTATATTTTAGCATATTCTCGAGGGTTTTAACAACCAGACAAAATTTTAAATAAATAGCGTGAAAATCATTATTCTTTCAGTCTATCCAACGATTATTTATTAAAAAAATATTTAAAGAATATCATTTAGATATTGATGCAAAGAAACGGATGGCATATATTTGGTTATCGGAATATGTACCAAATTGTTTGCTGCAAACTGTATATAATAGTGCAAATTTAACATTTGCTATAACATCAAATACTAGCTCTGGTCGATTTGCAAGTTTTCTAAGAACAGAGTCAATATTTTCATTCATTTCAAATTTTGTCATCTTTTTAATTACCAATCAATGAATCAGTTAAAGTTTATTAAACAATTTGCTTGAAGT